CACACACATACACACACACACACACACACACACGCACACACGCACGCACGCACGCACGCATGCACGCACGCATGCACGCACAATAATGACAATAATAATAATAATAATAATAATAATAATATCTTAAATTTCTCCTGACGGTCTGCTTTTGTTTCCGGTGCTGGGTTTGGGATCTGGGTCCTTGCATATCCAGAGCCGGATTCTTCCACTGAGCTGCATTGCCCAGACCTCAGCAGCCCAGGCTGGCCTTATCTTTTCACGTCCCGGGTGCTGGGATTATAGGCACATGACACCATGGCTAGTGACAATGCCTGAACTTTCTGCCATTCTTGAATCCCCCGTGCTCCCAAATCCTCCTGGGATGCCCATCCTCCACGCCCACAACTCCCCCCACCCTTCACTTGCACAGAATATTCATGGTGAATGAAGCCTTGATGGGAGCATCCAAAGCTGGGCTGGACCCCTCACAGACGAGTAACTGCCCATTATCGGAGCTCTGGGGTGTCACCCTGGAAACAGAGGATTCTGGAATCAGAGTCATCGTCTGAAATTTAGGGAGCCAGGATACAGAGGAGGGCATCCCAAATCCAAGTGTGCATACTGATTTATTCTAAGATCCGGACTCCCCTGGGAGAGATTTGGAGGTTCAACAATGAGAATAGGAGTACCCAAGGTCTTCACCTGGCCTAAATGTTTTTACTCAATACCTACAAACTGAGGTTACCATCAAGAAGTTTTGGGAGTCAGGGCGAAGCATTGGGTCCCAGGTATTCCTACAACTTGTGTCCATACTTGCATCACTGGGTCCTGGAACTCGTGTGGGATAACCTGGAGGTCAGGGTACAGGGAGAAAACCTCAGCTTGCACACCTGGCTTCAGCCTCTGTGATGAAGAGCTTCTCCTTGGACCCATCATTCACATTATAGGAGACGTCCAGTACAGCTTGTCCACCTTGGGGCAACAAGAAAGCTGAGTTGAGAGATGTTGGGTTTTTCTCCAAGGCAGATCCAGCAGCAGGCCCTGGAAGTCCTCAGGGAGGACACAGCACCCCTACCCCCCCCATCGGCTTTGGAGGGCAAGAAGCTGGGGTGCAAGTTCTGTCCTCACACACACTCAGGACCCCCTGAGTTCCAGGGTTCCCAGGGCTGCATCATGGGCCTCTCTTCCTCCTCACCCCCACCCCGTCTGCAGCGTCTCACTCCTGCAAGACCATTGGCACTCATAGCTCACCCGAGTGCTGACACACTCTCTCTACCCCAGGTCAGTAGTCTTGCATTCTCCCGGGTGTCTCCCCACAGTATCCCTTTCTTATCCCGCACATCCATGTTGGCCTCATTACCTGGGATGGTACTCAGGGGTGACATATTTGGGGGGCCCCTAAGAACACCTCCCTCCCACCCACACTCACTCTGGATGAAGGTGATGTCAGGTGCCGGTTTGGCATCCCCAGACACACAGGTGACCACATACTCCTGCCCAGCTACCCAGGTGACTGTACTTCCTGCCTCAGGCGTCAGCTGAAGCACTCTGGGGGGAACTGGAGAAAGGGTTTGGGGTTAGCCACTGCTCAGAGGTACATGTGAAGGTTTTGGGCAAGAGTTCAGGAAATGAGACCACCCAGGGCCCAAGGTGGAGGGTCACGGGAGCTTGGGCTTCTGGGTGGGAGGGGAGAAAAGGGCCCTGGAGGGGAGTCTCTCACCCACACCTAGGATGGAGAGGATGACTTTGGGAGACACAAACTCGGGGCCCATCTCTGAGCGGCTAACTTGACATTCATACTCTGCGTCGTCACTGAGGTCACAGGCTTCAATAAGCAGGTGGAATTCCCCTGGAGATGGAGTCCCTAAGGTCAGGGCCACACCTCTGCTGGTGGCTCAAGATCTCAGGCTCTGGTCTCTCACCTTTAGCAGGATCTCCTTCCAGGCTGTACCTTGGGAAGCCTGGGATCCTGGGGTTCGGACCCAGAAGGAGCCCATCCTTAGCCCACTGCACCACACTGCCAGGGGCTCTGACCCCACACGGCAGCTTAACCGATGTCCCTTCCACCACAGTCAGGTTTTCAGACAGAGTCCAAAAGCCCCGGGGAACGGAGGCAGGGATTGATGACTGGGCCAGGCCTGGGGACACAGAGGATTGACACTAAGAGACAAAGGTGGCACTTGAGGGCCACATGGCAATACAAGGCCAGTCTTGCACTCACCTGTGGTCAGCAGTCCCATGAGCAGCAGGGGACTCAAGCTGGAAGTCCTGTGTATTAGGTTCACCCCAGGGCCTCGGACGGTGGCTCCCTTAGTGCCCATTGCCAGCCACTTGGCTTGTTGTCTTGTCTGAGCCTCTGTGTTCCCTGCTTCTCTCTCTGTCTCTCTCTGTCTCTGTCTCTCTGTCTCTCTCTCTCTCTCCCAGTCTCTGCCTCTCTCCCTAGACTCCCATCTTCGTCTCTGACTGTCCTGGACTTTCTGTCGCAGAATCTCCTTTCTGCCCTAAGCTTGCCCTGTTAAAGGTTCTTTGAGTTCCAACCCCAAGCACTCAAAAATGCATCCTTTCTCTCTCTCTTTCTCCTCTGACAGTCTCTGTTTCTCTTTATCTATTACTATCTTCCTCTCACCCACTCACAGGCACTCAAACAGGATTGGCTGCTCACTGATACTTGGGGTCCAGGGAGCTTCTGAACCCAGAAAGCCAAAGCAGTCAGTCACAGCGTGGAGCCGCCAGAGCTGTTTCTTGGACCCAGTGTGAATGCACCCTGCCGCTCCCCCCAAGTCCTTCCTGAGTCTGACCAGCAATGAAATCCCCTGTCAGCACATGCCAGGAACATTCTTTGGTGCCTCCCCAGCTCCAGTGACCCCAAGGCCTTGCCTCCGAGAGCAGGTATGCCAGAGCCACCTCCCAGCTCAGGATGGGAGGCAGATCCAGGCCTGTGTGGGTGGGAAGGACCCCACCCCCACCCCCGCCACAGCAGCCATCCCAGACTGTGGCAAGTCCCTTCTTTCCCTCGGTGACATCAGACACTTCTGCTGGTGAAAGTGCAAGAGTGTGTTTGAAACCACGAGACTGTGGGAGAGAGGGAAGCCAACTGTGTGTGTGTGGGTGTGAGAGTGTGGGTGTTCCAGGGACGGTGAGGGTGGATTTCCATCTGTGAACATTTTTGGAATGTCTGGTACTGGGACAGCTGGTAGGACTGTGTCCACAGACCGCGGTGTGGGCAAATCTGGTGACACAGTTAAACACAGAGTGGGGTCTCTGGGAGCTGGGACATCTGAGTCCCAAGGCTGTGTGAGGGTCTTGTTCTAACGCCATTCCTCCTTTCTCTGTGTGTCTCTCCAGCCAAGGTGATTTATCTTCTTATTCTTCTCCATCTCTTTGATTCCTTCTCCTCCTCCCCCCCTCTTCTCCCTCCCCTTCTCATTCCTGTCACTCTTACTGCCCTCCCCCACTGTCACTCAGTAACAGGGACTCAGTATCTACAGCGTGCAGTCAGCCTATCTCCGTGCCTTTCTTATGCAGTTCCCTGGCTCTAGGCCTGATTCTGATCCTTGAATTTTAGAACCATATGTTGGCTGGCCTGCCTTCCCAACCCGGGTGCACAGCTGCTTCCGCCAGGGATAAGCCCCTTCTGCCTGCTTATCTCCTGAAGGAATTGCAACTGTTCCAACCCCCCACATCCCCTCTGTCTTCCCTACAAACCTCCTACCCCACCGCGGCTCCTCCTCCAGGAGGCGGTCCAGGCATCTGGTCTGCCCCCCCCCCCCCAGCTATCCACCAAGGCTGAGCCCTCTGGTCTTTCTCTCCCACCCATCCCCATTATTGATTCATCACTAACTGAGGAAGGGTCTGCCACGGGGCCTTTACCAGATGGTACCCTTGGAGGCCAAGGTGTAGAGCTGTCAGTTGCTGGAACCTTTAATTAGTGCACACCTTCTACACTCAACCTTGGCTGTTTTCCTTCTCCGAACGCTCTGGGGACTCCAGGCTCTCCATTTTTCCATGCCGGTGGCCCCAGAGTGCCAGGAAAGGGAAGCTATATCAGGTGTCTGGAAAAACAGCCTCATCACCTGACTTCCTCCCCAAGACTCAGGAGTCCCAGGCTCAAGCCTGTCCTATTTCAAAACACAGAAGCCGGGAGTGCAGATTCCCCCAGAGCTAGAACCCCAGGACCTTCTTTTCCAGCCCCCCAGCCCCCTCCCCGACACTCCTATAGGACTCAGCACAGCTGTTCCATCTGTTGGTTTTCCAATCCTCCCGGGGCAGTGGGGGTGAGTGAGAATGAGATTGGTTGTTAAATCCAGTAGCTCTAAGACTTAAGACCAGATATCCCGAACCTGGCCCAACTGCGCCATACTGCAGACTGCAAGGTCCACCAGCTTCTCAGCCAGCAGAGATCTGAACCACCCTCTCCCTGAAGGCCAACCCTCTGACATTTAGACACACCAGTCTGAGCCCTCAATGTCATTTAATTCTGATAGGTCCAGGAATGTCAGACCTGGGACCTCAGCCTCCCCCCCGCCCCCAGCGCGCCCCTTTAGTAAGCTCAGGGTCCCTCCCACCTGCTCCGCCAGCTGCGCAGCGTGGGAACGCCCCAGCTGGGCTGCCCCGAGCTGTCAGGACAAGCTGCGCGGTTCCCAGCCTCCCTGCCTGCCAGAGCCAGAGTACCGCCGCCTCCCAGCCGTCGCCCAGCAACCACTCTGAGCGGCCCGGGACCGCTAGGCGAGAGAGGGGATGGCTGGGTACTGCTGAGTTCTGGGAAAAGAGGAACTCGGGGGGCGGGGCTGGATTCCTACATCTTAGGGTGTGTTAGGCTTGTAGCGCTAACAAGGCAGCGCGGGGGTGGGGTGGGTATTTGGGGAAGTGGGGAGCTGAATCCCTCTTTTCTCATGGTTCCCAAGTAGTCCTTCAACACCTGAGTGCCCTCTCCTCGACCCGCAGGCCCACGGGAGCCTGGGCCCCGCCTCCCCAGGGCACGGAAACTGGCGAAGTCCCAGGGGTTCCCATTTATAGCTCGGTTTCCACTCAGCTCAGTCCCTCCTGAGTCCGGGCTGAGCAAGTTTCTTCCACTCTCTTCTCTCCTCCTCCTCCTCGTGCCCGCCTCCCCTTCAGCCTCAGTAGGGCGCAGGTGTCCAACTCGAACAGGGCCCCCTCCTTGGATCCAGGTGGTCCAGCTCTCAGACCCCCTGATAACACAGGGGCGCCCTCCTGCTGCGCGAACCGCGAGCCGGAGCGCCCATAGTCTCGGCACGCAAGCGGCCGGAGTTTCTCAATGGGAAGAGGGCGGGCATCCAGGGGGCGGGACGAGTAGGATCCCGCCCTCCCGCGGGTCTCGCAGACCCAGGGCGTGCAACCGGCGGTGTTGAGCATCGAAGACGGCGGATGAGCCAGATTTCGGGGACTCCAAGCCAGACATATACTCTTCCAGCCTGGGGTGGGGAGAGTGGGGTGCAGAGAGGGGTTCCAGTCCAGCGTGGTGAGAGGCGTGCTGTCGAGGAAGAAGTTGGAGGGGACCAGTGCAGCCCTAAGTCTGCGGGATCTTGGGGTACACACACTCGGAATGCTGGGTCCCGCCCTCCTCGCCCTCCTCTGTTGCTTCAGAGGACTTGCAGGTACCCCCGGAGGGAGCAGGGAGGGTTATCTGTCCGCCTTTATTGGGAAAAGTAGCTAAGGGCGCCTACTCCTGGGTGTGAGAGATTAGAAGCCAGGGCTTCTAATCTGAGGAAGGAGGGCTTTGGAGACTGGACCCCCTGGGTCTTGCATAAGGGGATTCTTGACCCAAGCACAGCTGTACTGTCCCCTCTTCTCCTAGGCCCATCGCCCCATTTCCTGCAACAGCCAGAGGACTTGGTGGTGTTGCTGGGGGAGGAAGCCCGGCTACCCTGTGCTCTGGGCGCTTACCGGGGGCTCGTGCAGTGGACTAAGGATGGGCTGGCTCTAGGGGGCGAAAGAGACCTTCCAGGTGAGTCTGGTCTCTACTCTGGGAAGGGCTGGCAGCATGGCAGGGGGGCTGGGCATGGGCTGCATTTGACAGTTTCAACTTTGGAGATTGGTGGCCTCCCAGTGAATATTTGGGAACCCCGAGTTTTAAAATGATTGTTTTTTGCGGGGGATGTGATTTCTTGTGTTTAGGGACTATCATTTTTATTCTAAAACATCATATAAATGCGTAGATAGTTTACCAATAATTACAGTCTTGTAATTAATGCACACGCTATTGTGAGCTTTTCAGAAGCCCCGCCCCCATTAACTTTCCTCTGTGGTGGGCGAAAGGTAGTGTTTTATCTAATTTTTTCTTGGTTATTTGTTTTGTTTCCTTCTTTGAGTTGGGGTCTCCCTCTGTAGCCCAGGCTGGCTTCAAACTCGAGATCCTCCTGCCTCAGCCTTTTGAGTGCTGGAATCAGAAGCATGCACCATCCACACCTGGCTTAAGCTAACTTTGATGGGAATTGCTTTTTTTTATTCCTTTCTGATTTTTTCACTCCCAAATTTGTGGCGACTATAAATTGGCAGGAGGCTTAGAATCTCTCTGGACCCAGCTTTTCCCTCTAGCTTTTTTTGTTTTTGTTTTGTTTGTTTGTTTTTTGGTTTTCAAGACAGGGTTTCTCTGTGTAGTTTTTTGCTCCTTTCCTGGATCTCACTCTGTAGACCAGGCTGGCCTCGAACTCACAAAGATCCGCCTGCCTCTGCCTCCCGAGTACTGGGATTAAAGGCATGCGCCACCACCGCCCGGCTTGTTTTGTTGTTTTGTTGTTGTTTATTTGTTGTTGTTGTTGTTGTTGTTGAGACAGTGTCTCAGTATGTAGTCCTGGCCAGCCTAAATTCCCTATGCAGATCAGGATGGCCTCGAATTCATAGAGATGTGTCTGCCTCATGCTTCCGAGTGCTGGGATTTAAAGGTGTGCACCACCACACCTGCCCCCAGCCCGGATGTGTTAATGGTGTTTTAGCGTGGAATGTGTGGTTCTGACTCTGCTCCCTGGGGTGGGATTCTGGAGATGGAGACTTGAGGAGTTCAGAATTATGTATGGTTTCTTCTGTCTTCAGGGTGGTCCCGGTACTGGATATCTGGGAATGCAGCCAGTGGCCAGCACGACCTCCATATTAAGCCTGTGGAACTGGAAGATGAAGCAACGTATGAGTGCCAGGCTTCACAAGCGGGCCTCCGATCACGGCCTGCCCAGCTGCATGTGATGGGTGAGGACCCAGCCCGTTGTGCTTTGGGAGCCTGGTGGGGTGGGGGTGGGTGGGGAGTGGAGGACTACCTGGGAGGTCTTGGAACCCTAGGAGAGTGGTGGGTGGAGCTGAGAGGATCAGAGGCTCTGCTTCCAGGATGCAGTTCTGACCCCAGATCTGTCACGCAGTCCCTCCAGAACCCCCTCAGGTTCTCGGTGGCCCCGCAGTGTCTCTGGTTGTTGGAGTTCCTGGGAATCTGACCTGTCGGAGTCGAGGGGATGCCCAACCTGCCCCTGAACTACTGTGGTTCCGGGATGGGATCCGGCTGGATGGGACCACCTTCCACCAGGTTTATATTTCTTTGCCATTCTTTGTTCATTCAGTGAGACTCAAGGTCCACTTTGATCACTAAAGGGGGGATGGCAGCCATTCAGGGTTGAAATACGATTCAGGTCAAGAGCCAGACTTCCCGGCTCAGTCATGTGCTAACGCTTGCTCTGTGGTGTTTAACTTCCCTGTCTCTCAGTTTCCTCGTCTATACAATGGGGAAAATAGTAGCATTACCTCCTAGGATAATATAGAGAATTAAATAAAGCATGTGAGTGTCTAAAAGTATCCAATGCATTGTAAGCACTACCCGTGTAAGCTATAGATGAAACCATATGTGGTGTGGTAATACACACCTGTAAGCCCAGCACTCAGGAGACTGCAGCAGGAGGGTCATGAGTTCAAGGCCAGCCTTGGCTCCATAGTGAGACCCTGTCCAAAAAGGAAAAGAAATAATTATTGTCTATCGATCACCTCCAGACCACACTGAAGGACAAGACCACTGGGACAGTGGAAAACACCTTATTCCTGACGCCTTCCAGTCACGATGATGGAGCCACCTTGATCTGTAGAGCCCGGAGCCAGGCCCTGCCCACAGGGAAGGACACAGCCGTTACCCTGATCCTTCAGTGTGAGTGCAGGTGGTCCTGGAAAGACCCGGGTGGGCCTGAACTCCTGGGTCTGACCCAGCTGGAGAGGGCAGGAGGAGGACACCCTGAGATACCTGGGAGATCAGTACCGAAAGCCCAGCTCCTCCCTGCTTTACTCTCACAGATCCCCCAGTGGTGACTCTGTCTGCTGAGCCCCAGACCGTGCAGGAGGGAGAGAAGGTGACTTTCCGGTGTCAAGCCACTGCCCAGCCTCCTGTCACCGGTTACAGGTGACGACAAACGCCATTTGTCTCTAGCAGGGTATGGGATCTTGAGGAGGGATAGGATGGGCTATATTAATATCGCCACTGTCTCCGCAGGTGGGCAAAGGGGGGATCCCCGGTGCTCGGGGCACGTGGGCCAAGGTTGGAGGTCGTAGCAGACGCCACGTTCCTGACAGAGCCGGTGTCCTGCGAGGTCAGCAATGCGGTGGGAAGCGCCAACCGCAGCACCGCGCTGGAAGTGCTGTGTGAGCAGGGGCGGGGCCGTGGGTGTGGCCGAGGTGGGCGTGGCTGCGCTGGGTGGCGGGGGTAGAGCAGGTAGCAGGGCGAGCTTTGGCTGGGCCAGATCAACCTCCAAGCGAGGCAGGGGCGGGGTTTGTGGTGGCGGACTTAGGTGGCGGGTGTTGCCCGGAGACCTACACTTGTACCTGCTAACCTGCTACTGTTTTGGAGTAGCTAGCTGATCCTGTGTCAGGGCCTCGTTCCACCCCACTCCTCTCTCTCCTCCAGATGGACCTATTCTGCAGGCAAAACCAAAGTCCGTGTCCGTGGACGTAGGGAAAGACGCCTCCTTCAGCTGTGCCTGGCGAGGGAACCCACTTCCACGGATTACTTGGACCCGCCTCGGCAGCTCTCAGGTGAAGTCCGATTTGGGACCTGGGACGGTAGTTGGAAGCGGGCTGGGATTCCTCCCGGAGTCTTGTCTCTGATGCCCCTTCCCTGTGCCAGGTGCTGAGCTCGGGGCCCACGCTGCATCTCCCATCCGTGGCGCTGGAGGATGCGGGCGACTATGTGTGCAGGGCTGAGCCGCGGCGCTCCGGTCTGGGAGGCGGCACCGCGCAGGCGAGGTTGACAGTGAATGGTGAGAGACCCCAAGGGTCTCGGAGTAGGGGGTGGGCCGAGAGGGCGTGGTCCAGGAAGGAAGTTATAGGCTGTGGGACTGAGG